GCGCGTCCTCAGCCTAGCCTTTGTGGCAGGCTTTTTATGTGGGATCATTTGTGCAGGTCACAAAAGCAGACTTGCCCTTAATTGGGTTGAGTGCTTTGGTGCTTTGTGACACATTGACCAAGAGGCACTCACTGCAATCGATGAGAACCACCACTACGAGGTTCCTGCTGGGGACCATGATGCTGACTGGTGAGTGATCCAGTTGGCAGGTCAAGGGCTGGGAGCTGGGGCAGGTCACCGAGGTGTGAAGGCTGCAGGGCAGCTGAGGGACAGGTGTGACCAGGCAGAGGTGAGATCAGGAGATCGAGGGCAGGAGGGTGAGGGCCAGAGGGTTGACTGCGGGGCACCGCTGCGGTGATACAAGACACCAGGTGCAGGGGGCGGGCACTGCATGAGGTGGGTCTACCAGCGAGGTGAGGGCGGAGCAGGGCGTCAAAGGGCAGGCTGAGCGGATGCCGAGTGAGACAGGCCAGCAGTCCAACAAAGCTGCACAGCCACAGCACGCAGAGCACCGAAGAAAAGCTGAGTGAGGCGCTTGCATGGAGCGCGCACGGAACGGAGACCGAGACCCAAATCCAAGGGGCGTCGAGATTGGCGTGCAGATCGAGCGAGCGACGAGCGCATGGGGGCGCTATAGGAAGTCACCGAAAATGAGCACGTATGGGATGCGTATGGTACGGAGACTGGGACTCAAGATCAGGGGGTGCTGGGACTGGCGTACGGACCGAGGCGGGCAGGGAAGCACATGAAACGGAGATCGGCATCCCTGGGGACAGGGAGTGCGGTACAGGCATGTGGCCCACAATGGGATAGACGCAGCAGTGGCTAGGTCGAGGGGGCGTGTTGGAATCTGGGCATGGAGCCAGATGTGAGAGGCCCCGGTGCGACCTGCGCCACCAGCATGGGAGAGTAGTAGTGTGCGTGTATATAATAGGGCACGGCTACAATGGGATGGGCCATCGATTTGGCCCCGTGGAGCCATCTTCTAGAGAGCGGGCGACTCCTGAACTCCTGGCCACGCTGCGGGCTGGCTGGGAAACTCAACATATCAGACCTACACGGACGTATGAGACCGTGAATAAATAACGTGAAGGCAGTGAACCAGATCCCAACAGCTTACGATGTGTCCAAACGGGATCATCGACGTGTGCCGTCAAACCGCCCGACAGTGAAGGGCATTATACTGCACTTATGTGAAGCATCACACATTGCATTCACCTTGAGAGCATGACAGGTAAACATAAATTGAAAGTGTCTCTGGCAAAGGCGGCACATCGAAATTCAGGAGGCCCATCGAATTACTATAGGTAGTGAAATTTAGTCATAACTGGAGGCAACCAGTACGGATTAAGTAGCGGTAGTGCAAAATGTCTTCGTATATCAAATGTCAAGGGAAGAGGGGATGATACTTAGGTGCACGTCCCACGTCACTTGCTCGAGTAGAAAGGATGACTGCGACCCACTGTGCATGTTTCCGGCCACGACCCGGAGGCATGTGGCAGTGGCACAACTAAAAGCCATATCACGACTGCCTAACGTACAGCCTGCAATGGGTGACACGAGCTTCTAGTGATGTCAATATACACGGCGATCGAGGACTTCGTCCATGGCAACGTTATATAGCAATGTATTGCTGTACAACTGGTTTACTGATGGCTCACAACAGCAAAATACTTGAAACGCATGTTGCAGCCGGGGTATATGTGTAAACGTCAATCGCTACTTGGAAGCATGCAGTGCCCATTATGCATGGATCGCTATGCATCCATGAGGTCCACACCGAGTTGTTCCCTTGCTACAGCTTCCTGAAATGACTTTTTCAACACCCATGGGCGGTACATTCCTCTCACCTCCTCCTCATTCTCGTCAGTGCATTTGATCTCGGATGGATCTTTCCCGTAACGATGTTTGAACCAGTCATCTACCTGCTCGCAACGGCCAAAGTCTATAATGCGGAAGCTGGGATGTTCGCGAGAGCGGAAGTGTGGTGCAACGTCGAGGGGGCCCGGCTGTATCAGGATGTTACGCGTGAACACTGAGTTTTGTATGAACTCTTCCAGATGGAGGCGCAAGATGTGCGTGTAACATTGGGACCTGTCGCAAATATCGCAGAGTCAGCTCACGCATACAGGTACGGTATAAATGGGCACTCACTGTTCGTCAAGACTGAGCTCCTTCGGATCGATAGGCTCACCACATTCCTCGATTAGCAAGATCGGGCTCAACCCAGACACATCCGAAGCGGGGGTGTCCTCCTCAGGCACATAGTATCCGTAGAACTTGGGCACGACAGCATGAACAGGGACGGGGAAGTTGTGAGGTGCGATGAGGTTGTACCCACTCCAATGTTCCATGAGATGCCTCGGAAACTTGTTATAAATATCTGCCTCTGTCTTCAGCATATCGCGCGCGGACTGCTCAGGAATCGCCAGCTTGGCTGCAGTGGTCACCTGGCCGAAAGGCCCAATAGCCTTCAATGGAGGGGGGAGACGGAGGGCGGCGCGATAGACCAACGAATGGTTTCCTTTGCCTATCACACACTGCGCAGAGAGATATAGATGGGCGGTACGCGGCTTCTCGGCCTCCGGTAGGGGATGGATTATGTTGTCGTCGTATTTGGCCTCCTTGAACAGTTCTGAGGACTCGGTAGGCCAGACACGCTTGTATCTTACGGATGGCGCATCGAAGGGCTTCGAGGAGCCTCTCTTGGTGTCTCGTATGACTCCTGGCGTCAGTCCGTCCGCGTCGTGTACAAGGAGGATGTCGGGAAAGTACTCCTCAGGGATGAACTCCTCCAATTTCGACAAATGACCAAATGGAGATTTCGCGTTTGCGGCGGGCCCCTTGCCTCCCTTCTTGTGCATCTGCCGCTGATCCTGCGACTGCTTGTTTCCGTCTTCATCTTCAGACGTCGCGGGGGTCGTATAGTCGGAATCGCAGTCCTCCCATTCATCAGAATCATATTCACCCACAGTCAGGATTGGGTGCACGGGAAGTAGATACGGATCGCCTTCATATTCTTCCTTACGGAGGTCGAGCATGTTGTAGTAGTTCTCCCCGAACTCCTGGATCATAGTGCGACTCCATACGGTACCGAGGTTTTTGCCAGGGATACGTTCCGTGAAGAAGAAGCTATCCAGATCTTCCCCCCATGGTATTACATCGTTTCCCGCAGTTTTGCCCCTGGGAGGAGGTCGCGGGAGATCGGGACCATTGGGATCCCTACGCCACCAGCCTTCCAATATTGTGCGATAACGACCAGGACAGAGGAACATGAGGAAGTGCAGCGAGAGAAAGGGTATCTGCGAGGTTGAGGGTGTCGGGCATGACTTTAATTTGGATGCCACCAATTGCCACCAGTTCGCGTATGGCACGTGCGTGACATGTTGCGTCGAGTACGTGACTTCTCGCGAACCCCTGCTCGACACTTGGTATGGCTATCCTCGGCCTCACAGCACCTGCCATTAAATGAGATACAAGAACAATCGTGAATGCATTATCATTGTCGTGCAGTACTACGAGTCCGACAAGCCTACTTGCATAGCAACGACCTAAGGAACTACTCGATACAAAGATGCAGCGGAGACGACGATGTGTTTTCATCCTTCTGACGAAGTGACCTTGCAGTAATCCTGTGCATCAAACAGTGTGTGAGCGATCGTCGTCTTCGATGAGGAGTGGTCATGTCACGTACTGCATTGCCCACCGGATTGAGTGCCCAGTTCGGGAAGTTGACCGTGACTCCACCGGCACCTCCAAGCGCGAACTACATGCACACCATCAGCAGCCGTCGGCAATGTCCCCAGAGGAGGAATACGCACAGAGAAAATGAACACGAAAACCTGTGCACCACCATCTACGGCGGCGCCGAAGAGATACTGGCGGAGTTTGCATCAGAGCACTGCACACGACCTTCACATAGGCACAGCTACGCACGTTGTACTTCCTGAACCAGCCCGCACGGTACTTCCGGATGTAGAAGTGCGATGTGAGGCCAATGACCATCCAGGTGTTGATATAGCCGTTCGTACCACCGGCAAGATCGCCGATATTGTCTGGAGCAGCGGCCAAAGAGCCATCAGCATGAGATCACGGACGGGGTCGCAAGACAAGTATACGCACATGCGAGCACGCATGTGTTGATGAGCTTAAGCCATTCCTTCTTGTACTTCCTATACAGAAGCCATGGGATGATCGGGAGCGCAAGACCAATGATGATGCCGAGCGGGACAATGAAGTATGGCCCGTTAGGTCCATCTGGAGGAAGGTCATCAGTGTTTGTGATGGAAGAGTTACGACAGAAGACACACAGATTTCCTTGCCGAGCGCGCCCCAGAGGATAGCTGCAATGATGAGTGGGCAATCAGCGTACGGAAGCGGGAAACCGTAAGAGCTTACCATTGGCATTGTATGACTGGACCTGCTGTCCACTCCAAGTGCGCGTTCCCTCGTCGCTCAACTATGCATAATGGAGCATCAGCAACGGCTTGGGTATGCGTATCAGGACGAGCCACTCACCAGGACTGCACGCTTGTTGTTGACGACGGTCTGCATGATGACGTCTGCCAGACTAATAAGACATAGCACTAACGCCATTGAAATAGCTACACTTACAGTTGAGCAGCGCGCCGATGATCGTGCCAACCATCTGGACGCTAAATGTACTCCTCGGCGGGACTAGGCAAGGATCTGCTCAGCATCACTGGACAATAATATTTGCTTGTCTTCTACGCTCACGCTTTGTGTACTGTCCAAGCTTTAAATCGCTCAGCATGGACACCGCTTGTGACAGAGACTGGCTAGAGTAGAGCTCAAAGTACTACCAACAGAGTCAGCGACATTCGTTTCCCCACAATGAGATGATAATCACCATGTTCGCTTGCGACGAGCCAGGGATGAGCGCCGCACCAAGCATCTGGAACAAGTTCTGAATGATGACCTGGAACCTAGGTCGGCGCGCAACATCAGCCATACATTGCACGGGCACCACCAGGACTAGCACTCACGCAGCAATCGCGTACATTGCCCCGTAGAAAGGCAGGCAGAACATCGCCAAGATTAGCGCAACTATGAGCGCCCACCACGGCATATCGGACTTCTCCGTGTACGCGCAGACCATCGCCATCACGAAAGCAGCTGCTGTCACCGCGCCGTACCACCACATCGGCACCTCGCGGTAGATCCTCATTCGCTTATAGTGCACGTCCTCGAGCATCCTCCCCCGGAAGTAGTCGCGGAACGCGGACCAGATCTCCTTCCCGTGCCAGAGCGCGATGTGCACGAACGATGCCCCAATGGACATGTTGATACCCAGGTTGTAGATCACCTGCGAGCCCGATTGCCACGGTTGCCCGTAGATTTCGTACGCGGTGCGGTTAAGCGAGTAGTCCGACGTCAGAATGAGGTCCTGGTCGTACACCGTGCCATTGAGATAGAACAGGTTCTCCGAGATGAACGGGAAGTTCTTTGAGTTCCATACATTGCTGGCGAAGATGGCGGGCAGGAGGAAGTAATTGATCACCCAGCCGACATAGTTCGAGATCTGCGTCGAGAGTGGCGCGTAGAACGGCTGCGAGGTGATGTTTGCCCAGTCGAGCCCGAATCCGAGTAGACCCATACCCTCGTTCGCCTCCGCACCGCCAAAGATATACGACACCCAGTCGGAATTGCGGGCGCACAGGCACACGATGTTGAACGATCCAAGCAACGGCGCGATCCACTCCGGGAACCACTCATATACGAAAATAGCTCCGGTGACGAGCCAGAAGAACCGCAGACGCTTGCCCTGAAGTACCTCCCCCTTTGATCGGTGGAGCACATCAAACAGGTTGACGTAGATTAACGTCTGTGGATACAGCATGACGGTGGGATACACAAGGAAGGCACCTATCACGAATAAATGAGTAACGAAAGGGAGCGGCAGCCGTCCTGAAGACACGTACGGAACATGCCCGCGAATCCATAACCGATCAACTGAGACGCAAGGAGGGTAAAGATGGCATTACCGGGCTACAAATTCATATGAGCATTGAGAACTACACATATCGGATTTGACTACGTACGTTGATGGTGATGTTATAAAACAGATCATCAGAGGCAAAGACGAAGCAAGCCTGCGCCGCAGTCGCGGCCGTATTGGCACAGATCTGTGAGGCGACATGCTCCTTCAAGTCTAAAGAGTCCCATCAGTCTCTGTGATTAGCAGACATTCGTTCACACATACTGAACGGGCCAGGGTTTAGGAAGTTCCAGAACCAATTGTCCCTATGCCAACGGCTCCCCGGACCCGGAATGATCGCCTGGAACATGCGACCGAGCATGTACGCGATGAGTTGCAGGAAAAGGGCGGATACGAGAATAACCTGAGGCCTGAATTGCTGTGGAGCAAGCGTCAGACGTGCTGGGACTTAATGATAGAGATAAGAGACTCACGAAAAGCATTCCCAGGACTGCACCGAACACAGCAAGGCCAATACCGATGAACCACATGCGGAAGGTATGAATCGGAAGGTCGGGGTCGTCCTCTAGTGAGACCAGTCCGATGGCAAAGTCCTCGGGAGTCTCGAGGACCTTTTCCCGGCCATTCTCGTCGTAGATCTTATCCTCGACCTCGTACTCTGACGCAGAGACGGTTGCAGAGCCGAGCTTTTCCAGCTTTTCGTTGGATGCATATTCGGCGTTCTCGCCATCACTGTATGCAGGAGGCTGCGCGATGAGCTCGGGAACGTCGCTGGCCTCCACCGGGGCGATCTCGGGATCTAGACGGGGCATGGTGAGCGAGGTCGTCAGCGCAGACGATGCTCAGCACAGTGCGGGCGCGAGCGTGCAGCAGGTGGGAGAACCTGGGGAAACATGACGACGGAAGACGGGTAGATAAGCGTTCTGAGAAGCTGAAGTCACGCACGACGGCGGACGAGGCGCGTTCCTGTCAGCTTCTGAGAGGATGCGTGGAAGCTGCGATAGGGAGAAGGGTGGCATATGGAACACATGCTATAGTTGGTTATTCCGCGTGGAGGATTTCCTAAAACACCGGCGGTACCCGGTATCAGAAGTCCGGCCCTTTGTTAGAAGATTGATGGCATGAGCTCCCCACACATGGCAAGAAAGCGATTCACCTCGTACGCCGGATATTGCGTCTTCATCCAATCTCCCGCCGTTGGTGACAACTTTTCATCAGATCGCACGCAACTGCGCACCCACTGCGATCGATCGTTATTGACTGATACTTAGAGATCATAGGCGACGTGCGCGTCAGCACTGAAAACGATGCTTTTAGTGCAGGTCAGCTGGCTGCGAAATGGTCCGCCGTCTGATCGACTGGACGCTCGTCGAAACGCAAGTAGCGTACCAGATACCAAATTCGACTTGACTTGTCACCTGAGTATAACTAAACGTCTGCACGTCTGCTCCACGTGAGACCAATACGCCACTAGTCGCATGCAGAAATATGCGCTTGCGTGCCGCAAAATGCGATAAGATCCATTCACACGATCCAATTCAGCGCCATTATAACCGTTCACTCACCTGTCACGCCCATGGCCTACATCATTCGCGACTCCCTCCGCCCGGCCGTTACCACCACAGCTCTACATGTATCCCCACCCACCGCGCCCCGTGCAGCACTTATTCGCCCTTGTCCGACACAACCCGTCCACAGCAGTTGTTTCTCCATGCATAACATAGGCACGCACCTCATATGTACGCTGCCTGGCGCCATCATGGCACCAAGCATCATCTGCCTGTCGCTCCCACGCACAGCCTGCAGTGGCAGACCATATGGCTACTCGCGGCAGTGGCGCACACTAGAGCACACATGTCCCGTCCAGACGCTAGCACGTCCCTTGCAAACAAGAAAGTGAATTTCCTTCTTCTGCTATGCTGCGGGCGCGACCGTCGCCGGCGAACTCTCTACGGCCACTACAGGCATGGTCACCTTCTGCTCTCCCAGCTTGTCTACCAGCTTCATCAGCTCTTGCGCCTCCTCCGTCAGCTGCTTGATTGTGCCCTTCTCCTGAACCTTCTCCTCCTTCAGACTCAGCTCTCCGACCGCGGCGCTCACCACCTCTGCCCACGTCTTCCCTTCCCGCTTCAGCTCCTCTGTGATCTCGTCCTTGATTCTCCTGCACGCGCCGACGCCGTCATACCCAAAGCTCGTGTACACCTGCACCGCTGCCGCGCCCGCCCGTGCATACTCCAGCGCGTCCGCCCCGCTCGTGATTCCACCGCACCCGATGATTGGAATCGATGCCGGGAGAAGTGTACGCAGTGTATGTAGCGTCGCGAGCGAGTAGGGCTTCAGTGGCGGTCCGGAAAGCCCGCCGGCTTCATTCTTGTTTGCTGAGCGTCTCGGGACGCACGCAAATAATTACGTTCATGATGCAAGAGACGTCGACACATGAACATAAGGTACCATCACACAATCAAGTCAGTTAAGCAGTATCAGTGTGACATCAAACGTAAAGTACGCACGATCTGACAAGCTTGCTGGACGGCGCACTGTCGTATTGCTGACAATTACCCCATCCACACCATTCTTCCACACAGCAGCAGCGACGTCCGCAATCTCGCCCTGGTCCAAGTCCGGCGCGATCTTGAGCACGAGCTTTGGCTTTCGCGCAACGCCCTCTACTGCGAGCTCATCCCGCGCGGCCGTCACGCCCTCCAGTAACTCCTGCAACAGCGTGCTGCCCTGCATCGCTCTGCTAACGCTATCAGCCGCTCATTCAATAAATCAGGCACAGAAATTTGACACCCGTCCTCGACGCCCTCCCGATCATACAGAAGCACAAAAATAGCTCCTTATCTCTGCACAGAGGTTTGGTTCCGAAACCTACCCATCTGATAGGCGTAATCAGAAACGACCGAGTCCCAATCCGGGACAAGCCAGACTCTTTGCGCGCGCGATAGCAGAGTGGGCGTCGGGAGGATCACATGCAAGGGGCGCTCGCCGTTTTTGCGAGGAGCGCGGATAGAAGCGCAACCAACTCACCTCAGTCCAGGCGTGTTCGGGCTCGATACATTGACAACCAGCACATCTGCGTACGGTCCGAACGTCCGCACGCCCTGCACAAAGTCCTCTGTTGACTCCGCCGATGACGACTTGTTCTTCCCGAGGTTCACCGCGAGCAGCGCACCCGGACGAAGCGACGCGTGTTGCACTTGTGTCGTTGGTGAAAAGAATGAGGGCATGCGTGCCCGCAGGCGTGCAAGCACGACGGCGTGCCCTTCCGAGGGAAAGCCGTACCGGTTGATGACGGCGGCGTCGTCAATCAGATGGAAGAGCCTTGGGCGCGGATTGCCTGGCTGGACGGAGCGTTAGTAAGCTTGGGTCGTGTGTCCTCTCAAGGGAGGCTGGAATGAAAAAAGGTAAAGAAATCTTTGGGGGTCCTTGTGGGATCACATGCGCAGCCTCTTGAGATGCCGTAGTCTTGGTGATAGATGAGCCATCAGTAGAATACTTTGCACGTCATGCACGCTGGTTGAGATAGTGCGCAGGTACTGCATAAGCAGATAGGCAGTCACGAAGTAATCGACTCAAGCGAGACGGTAGTGTTTCGAAACACAAAAAGAAGAAATGTACGTATGTCTTCGCGTTTCAGAGTGAACACAGGCGCATCGTATCGAGAAAGCCACGCAATGCACACTGCGCGAGATATGAGAGTTATAGTCATGCATGGAGCTGCAGGAGGGCCTGGATGTTGTGGAGCCCGGTTGCCTGAGAGGTGTTCCACGCAGAATGCACTGTTGTATATCAGTACCAGAAGCAATACCAGATGGCTTGAAATGATCTTGATGCATTTCAAAACAGTGGTACACTGTCATCGAAGCAACTCAAGTTGGCAGCAACTGCATCAAGGTGCCAGTTCGCTGCTATCGAGCAAGAAGCGCATATAATCGCTTTATCTCGCGCATACACGTGGAACCATAGGCAGTCTTGGAGGCGAACATGGAAAGTGAAGAGCAGAAACCGATAGACCTACGACTTACCTGCGGCTTGGGCGTGACACTTCCAATCTCAACCCAGCTAAAGCCGAGATTGAACAGACCTGTGCCATTCCTGTGCTTTCACATCAAGCATTCAGCAAGCACAAAGTGATTCACTCACCATCCACTGCCTCCCCATGCTTGTCAAAGCCGGCAGCGAGCCCTACCGGGTTAGAGAGCTCCTCGCCCCAGAGCTATGGCGCCTTGTAATCAACGATTCTCGCGCTGATACTTTTCAACAAGGCTTACCTCAGTCTTCAGCCGCTCATCGTCCGGTTGCGTGTCCCTCGGTGCGAGTCCGCTCGCAAGCACGCGCACAGCAAGCTTGTGCCCCGTTTCCGCGTCCAAGACGTGCCGGATGACGGGCGTGATCACGTATCGGTGAATCGCAGAGCGTGAGTCGAGATAGTATGCAGCAAAAAGTCCCGTAGAAACCAAAAACAATCCTGTGTAGATTCCTGTGCGTAAACGCGAGGATCCACTGCTCGCCACGGACGATGCATGACGCGACAAAGACGGGCGGGATTGGATTTTGAGGTGGCGACCCGCGAGACGTAGAGTCGCCATGATGTTCCGCACCGTGCTTGGTGCTTTCGGCAGGGCTCAAAGACTAGAAAAGCTGAAGGAAACGTTGGGAAGGAGAACAGCAATCGTGAAACCCGCTCGTACCGTAACGGGTCGGGCGTGAGAGTTTGATTGGCCATCTGAGATCTACATTGATGGGCCACAACATAGTTCTGGAGGCGCCGGCCATGACCATCTAAATTGGATATGTACATCAGTGCACAGGCGTGCTGAATATGCATTGTGCTGCTTGCTCGTATTAATCTCGACCTGTATGGTACATTTAGAATAGCGAAGGCTGAATGTATGTACACAAGAAATGAGATGAAGTGTGATATCGGTTAGTTTTGTTAAATAGTTGCGGACGCTGCCCTCCTCCGACGAGCACAACCACAAACATCAACAACAAGTGGAGCTAACCTGGAATGCCCAATCAGAGTTTAGCATATCAGCAAGAATCATAGATCAAGGCGAAACCACATTGGTATAAGCTTCCAGATCCTCTCCCGCTCCCTCGCCGCCCACTTTTCCAGCGCCCGCGCACACGCCTTGCACTCCGAGAACTCCGCACTCTTCAGCTGCCCCAGCTCCTCCGCCACATACAGCGGGTCCGTGCACCCGCGCTCCCGATCGAAGAGGTAATGCTGCGTAGCAAGGTCTACCAGCTCCGAGAAGTCCTTCCGGCATGCCGCCACAGAGACGCACACGTTCCCGGAAGACCTCCGCCGGTGATGTGTACAAGAAGCCATGGTGCAGTGAGAGAGGTGCCCGTATGTGCGCTCTTCCCGATGTATATCGCTGCCCATGCTCTGAATGAGAGTGCCCACGGCGTTCTGTGACGACTCCTTGCCCAGCGTGAGTTTCTGGATATCCGTTGTCGAAAGCGTATACGCTCGTGGCTGCGCCCGTAACGGCTCCTCTTCAGCTGGCTCAAATATTTGCGCATAATGGTAGCGTGAAAGGTCGTAAAAGGCTGACGGGAGCAGTTCTGGTGCATGAATTTCTCTTGCAAGATTAATGATCGCCTGCAATAAGACGAATCAACATACATCGACAGCTTTCTCGGCTGGATGTATGAGCTTACCACTGGCGATGGATATAAGTGTCCTCTATGAGATCCACTCTGGCATTCGTATGCTCGAGCTAGATCCTCCCTCGCATCCCACCCCTTGAGCGTCGATGGCCATGCGACGCGTAAATGTGCCAATGCTTTCTCCCTCAGGTGATCCACGAAATATTTCGTCGATAACCTCAACACGCCCGAAACGACACAGAAATCCTCTCGGTCGTTCTTCCCGAAGCAACTTCTCTCATCTAGGTGAGCATAGTGTGAGGGAGAAATAGGAATACACTTACGGACCGTCGTACAATGCCTTGAGCAGATTGGCCGCATCCTCTGCTGAGTCGTCCAGCACAAGCAGCGGGCACCCGTCAAGCATCTCATCATTTTCGCCAGGCACCGCCGGCTGAGGCATAGAGAATAGATCACTGAAGAACTGAGACTTTCGAGAGAGCAGGGATGTGTGCACACGGAAGAGCGTGTTCTCCGCGCGAAGCACGACGGATCCGTCGCAGAACCAGAAGTCTCGATGCCGTACGAGTGCATTGGTGGTGACTGGGTGGTTGTTGTCTGCTATTGACGACTGAGCATTACCAGCTTCGGTGGAGAGACGCTCTGAATGTATGGTACTAGCATGAGACGTAGGCGAAAAGAGGTTGGCCAGGGAATGAGTCGCAGGCTCCTCCATTATCGATGTTTATTGAGAATATGGTGACGCAGGAACTGAGGAAGAGCGGGCCAGCAGGGACATCCTCCAGAGCATGTATATCGTCCGTCTGGAGGCACGTTCGGGTAGATCAGGCTTAACATCATTTTCAGCATGTGATATGCTAGTTTGACGTTATTTAACTCACTCAAGCGAATTTATTCACAAAAGCCATCATTTGGAAGGGTTCCTGAGCTTGCAACGAGCCTCCTTCCGAAACTCAGCGCTCAACGTCACGTTCAACGCCAACATTCACTCATCTCTTGTCGTCCTTGCGATACCCATGAATCTTGATGAGCGACATTTTCCAAAGCCCATAGATAAAGAATGATATTCCGAATTCCAAGAATAAACCGAAATCAAACCCTCTACATTAGTATCGAGCTTCTTCACGAGCGTCCTGAGCCTTCGCTATTTCAGGCTTTACATGCACGTAGTAGCGTCTTACGCTGTGATACTTTCGCCATACAGTAAAGCTTTGAAGCAGCTTCAAGAGATCAAGCTCAAGGAGTCTCCAAGCTCAAGCGCTCAAGCGCCCGACCTTCATCATAGCGACTGCCGCAATATTCTGCCCAACCCCTCACGTACAGCAGCGGCAAGGAGGCCCAGCCCCTGCCCCATCGCTGGCCTCAACGTGCAGCCTTGGGATATGTGCCCAAATATTTATTCCATCGTACGGAAACGTACTAGTTAGTGTATATTCCTTGGTATTAGTCTCCTGGTCTTCATAGACAAGTTCAAGAAGATGCATCACCATATATATGACTCAATCCAGATGGTTCAACACTTCCCTCGCCCTCTGCGCATACAATTCAAAGCGCTCCTCAAAGCGTGCGCAGATCCTCTCAGCTGTACCTTGCGAAGAGGGCACCATGTCAGCCGCAACGGCGATTGAGAGCCCTCCAGCATACGAGATGATCCCCATGCCAATCGTGCCTGCTATCATGAAGTACCGTGCTGAAAGAGAATAGCATGAGGGAGGCGTACCTTTTCCACCTTGTGGCGGGAGCGCTGTCCAATTGATGACTTCGATGCCTTCCATGTTGATGGTATGCTTTGCAGGGCCGGGAACACTAGCACGGATAATCAAAACTTTTCCTTGCTGCCCGTGCAAAGCGGGAGGCTTACTTTGTCAAGACCACCGCAACTGTCCACAGCAAGTTTAGCATGACACTGGATGAGCACAGACAACACTCACAGGTCTGCAGAGCCCATTCATAGAACGGCCGCGTAACGTGCTCCGTGATCCACTCCTTAACATGTCGTGCTGGGTTGGCGAGCAGCGAGATTCGGAACAACACCGGTGCCTGCCCGGTCAGTTGCAGGACGTTGAACTCTATTTTCGGCCAGAGGCTGTGCTTCAGCAGTGACAGCTCGGCACGACACTGGTGGATATGTGCGTGAATTTGGCGCTCGCTGATATCCGGAGTGAGGTTCGAGGACGGGTTCAGAAACACGAGGGAGCCCGTGGACAAGTTTCGCATTGACCAGTCTCCCGGAGAACGGACGCTAATGGGACTAGCAGACCAACATCAACAGCGTAATATACCAACAGGATAGATACACTCACATGAAAACCCCGATGGGTGACCGGAGCACTCCTCTCAACCAACGCTTCACGCGACCCCACTGCCCGTGCATCTGGTCCTCAGGCTTCGCCACAATTTCCGCCTCAAGCACGTCCGCCACCACTGCGCACACAACGTCATTGAGTGTGACGTGCCCCGCCTTGCTCCTTGCCTTGTGCCGCTTCTCTTTCGGCACGCCCTTCGCCGCAAACCCCGGATATGGCCCGGAGAACGCGCTCTGGCATAGCTTGACGTCGTGCATGCTGAACGCGCGCGAGCTCGCAAACTCCCTCTCTTTCACGCGTGGTCCGGGCTGCGGGCCCGTGAGGTGGTCTACACGCCAGCACGTGAGTAGGAAGAGTGCAGCCTGGTGTATACCGTGGTATACACTCCACAAAAGGGCGACACAGATAGAGACGAGATATACCAACCAGAAAATGCAGGCTAGGAAAACTTCGAGCAGCGGTGCGGTGGAGGGGTTTTGGGCGAGAGAATCGAGGGGGCGCAGAGAGCGATGCAATCTGGATGGGAGAATTCTGCCGCGACGCGCATTACGTAGCTTCTTCGCTGCGCTGTCCATTACTTTAACCAGAGTGTCGCGGTACGAGGTGATATACAGCTGGCTGATTATGAAACCTGCGGGGAGGAGTGAAGCCACCATCTTACAGATATCAATGCATTTGTTTACCTTGTCCGTCCGCTAGTGAATGGTGACTAAGAAATGTTGATTTCAAGCATGGATCAGGTAAATGATGTAGCATACCCCCGAGTAATCATAGCGGATTCTGCACCATCCTCATCGTGGTAATTCTCAACGAGTAACAGCTCCCACAACGGACGACTCAAATCCCAATCCTGAGCGATGAATTTGCCCATCTGATGAATCCCAGTCAGATCCTCGGTCTGTGTTGCAAGAAACATTCTCTCTGCTGACCAGTTTGTTCAATTCGTGCTTTCCTGCAGGTTCCGGCAAGGTGACAGATCGGATATGGTTATTGATATCAAAGTTTGGATCATCCTCGAAGCGTGCACCGTGAAAGCTGCGACCAACTGAAGTAACTCTCTGCTTGTATCTGGGGAATCTTTCTCCTCGAGTAATCGCTGCCTGAGCGAAGTCGCCGTTGAATCAGCTTCACGTATAGAAAGTGTGTAGTAACATACGTGGCGAACGTCTTCAAGAGTCAGCTTCCCTCGAAATGTGTACGTCGATGCACACACCTACGTAATGACAGGATCAACGCTTCAGGATCTGCATCACAAACATACTCTCGAGATACTCACTGGATTGAAGTCCGCAGCATCTGTGACCAAAAACCACAGATTGTCGATGCCACCAATTGTCTGGCGTCGCTCTTCCAATTCCTTGTCAATCCAGCCGCCCGCAGATAGAAGCGCTGCGGCTACCCATCCTGTCAAGCCGCCAGCGCGCTCGAGATCTACCAAAGAGAACTGCAGTTTGTGCGCTACGTTCAAAGGGCCATGAGGCTGTTCTTCATCGTCCACATCATGCTCGAGAGCTCCTGGAGCACTCAAGCTGTTTCCGTTTCCAATGGTCATATTCTGGGATGTGGCAGGGGCGGTGGCATGAAAGGGCTGGCGCCACCAGCTGCGTCCTTTACACGATGACGCACTTCCCATACGGCGACTGCTGAGGAAAGGCGCTCATAACTTATAAAACCGAGTCGGAGAAGTTCGTGTACAGCCAACTTCAATCCAGGACAGCAACTGGTGGCCGGATGTCGAGCGCGAGACCACAATATTGATATTCGCTGGACTGCAAAGCAACGTATGACCCGTTACCAGGAATCTACATCCGTGGTTCGCCCCAACGATTCTGAGAGCCCATGAAAGGTTTGTATTGCAGCTCAAGAGGGCAGTCGTTTCCAGCACAAGAGAAGGGAACAAAGAATATGGTAGTCTAAGATAAGTGGAACGTACAAAATGTGCTAGAAACGAGGTGACGACGACGACGACATGATCCGACAATTCTTCGAAGCATCAAGTGAAACGAGCCCACACCTACGACAATAGAAACCCACTCTGCTCCCACACCGCTAGTCTAGCTTCCCGGGACGTAAGGTGCGAGTCCTGCAGCCTGGATCTTAGCCGGATCCTCGCGGCTCAACGCACCAATCAATTGAATCAGCTCCGCTCGGATATCCTCGCCAATCATCTCCGGGCCACTGGGATCGAGTACGTACGCGAACACAGCAAGCAGCCGATCCATATAAGGATGCAGCAAAGCAGGGTTCGTGCGGAATAGGTGGAAGATCGCGTAGAACACCGGTCGGTTCTCCAAGTAGTCGTGCTTAAGCGGCAACGCTTCGAAGAACACGGGCAGCACCTGCTCAAGGGGAATGGCGGCAGTGTTCTTCACGATGATGCGAGCAACTGCGCCTACGGCGTTATCTCGGGCATTATATCGTGCGGTAGGAGCATCGGGTGCAACGATGAAGAGTGGTCGAAGGGAAGCGAGGACGTTCATGTAATGTGGTGAGAGGTCAACTCGTGAGTGCTCGACGAGCATGCCTACTGCGAAAGCGGCATTGCACTGCACTTCGGCCTCGTTGTCAGCCAATGCTCGGAAGAACAGCTCGAGCAGCGGCTGCGTCTTTGGGGTGACAGCATCCTTCATGCCAGCGATGATCTCCGAGAGGCATCCGATGGCGGATGAGCGATCGCTCACAGAACGATTCTTTTTCTATAGCAGCAACAAGTCAGTTACGACACGTCTAGCAGGTATGCACGACTCTTACGTAATACTTGGCGATCAGCGGGAAGAATGTTTCGAACGCATTCTGGAAGTCACGCCCGAGAACATTGGCAAGTGCCGCCACGAGGTCACCGGCGGAGGAGATGAGCATAGAATCGTACTCAGCCTGGTCCTCTGGTGCCTCCTCGTTCTCATCCTGATCAGGATCTTGTTGACATATCGCTTTCTGATCGAGGATTTGGCTGGCGATGTTGCCGATCGCATCAAGTTCTGTCACGAAGGATAAGCGTCGTAAATCGAAAGACAATATGATTATTACATACTTCCTTCAAGGAATGCCGGGCCAATCTTGTTTATAGTCTCTGCAAGACCTACGCAGAGAGCGGAGACAACCTTCCTATTAGAACGAGGCTTGATCAATATCATGAACAGGCTGGATTCCAAATGCACTTACTTGTTGTCCTCTGACTCGTACATCTCCAGCAGAGATGGCCAAATGTGGTTGATGAGCGATGCAACCTGCGGATCAAGGGGAACATTCTATAAACGTTTCGTGTCAGTACGCAAGTTTCTCGAGCCATTCCATGATAGCTAAACACATACCGGCACAGCCCCAGGTACCCAATCCTGAGGGTTGCTAAGCTCATAGAATGTCCTGATGATCTCCAATAGCGACTCCGTCGCAGACTTTCTGATGCCATCGTAGTAATGCGGGAGGAGGTTGATGAGCTCCAGCGTACATTGCTCGACGTAAGGCAGAAAATGACTGCGCGTTGCCGCGAAGATCGTGCCGATGGTATCCGCCGCGATCTCTTTTTCAATGCAAATCGTGCTATTTACGTCGAGCAGCTTGTCGATGTCGATGTCCTCAGCCTCGATCTCAATGCCACCTTTCCCATCGTCGGTCACGGTAATGGCGTTGGCGGGAGATGTACCAGAAGCGAAGCTAGCAGTCGCCTCGGCAGTGGAGACTAACAGATGCTCACTGTGAATACGATTAATGCAGAAAGAATTCAGGTACGTACTTTCAAGACTCTCCTCGCCATGTTCGACTTGCCTACAGCTAGCAAGGAGAGCAGGCACGACATTCGGCAAGTACGGCGCAAACTCGTCTTCAAACACCCTCGACATCACTCCGAAGAACAGGAAGCTGCACTCTCTCAACCGTGGGCTGCCAAGCTCGATACCCTCGAATGCCTGCTTCATCATGTTTCCAAAGTACGGGCGGAACATGTCCTTACCGACCGCCTCCGCAAACGTGCCGACCGCGTCCATCGTTATGCCGCGCAGCTCCTGCTCCTCGCCCTCTGCGCGAAGGATGAGGAAGTGCTGGAAGCGGTCCATTGTCGGCTGGAAGTATGGCAGGAACTTCTCATGCGACGCATGTGCGGCGCTGCCCAACGCGCCGATGACGACCGACTTGACGGGGATTGGGGCGCTGTCCAGCAAGCCAACGAGTTGCTCCATAATCAGTGGGAGGTACTGCTCGATCGACTCGTGCATGATCTCCAGAAGAGCATCGAGAGCGGTGCAGGCTTGACGCTGCGTGACGGGGTCATTGACAAGACGCATAATTGTCTAAGGGCAGGTCAGATATCACGATGAAGTCAGAATGGTGCATATCACGCACCGGTACAAGAACAGCATGTTTCGACGCACACTCGTCCTCGAGCCACTCACAGAGGCAGCTAACGGCAATGCAGGTCGCCTTGCGCACAGAGGCGTCTTGATCCGCTAGCCCAGCCTCGATGATAGGCCACACCTGGCCCATCAGCGGCGTCATAAACTCGCTACATCCTTCGACGGACACACCAAGAGCGAGCATAGCACCGCGGCGGACATTCGGATCTGGGGAGGAGAAGTACGTCTGAATCAACTGGCGCAGCGCCGGGAAGACCTGTGTTGGAGGCAGGTTGGTCGCGAGGGTGTCAATGATACGAAGAGCAGACTGCAGGGCAAGGTAAGCGCATATCGACGAGAGTGACGCATTTGTACATACACGAGACGGGGCATCCTCGTCCGTGTCTTCCGGCTCGGGCTCCGTCGTGACGGGCATCATCTTCTCCAAGATCGCCGGAGCGAGGTTGTTAGCCTGCACCTTTGACTTTTTGCTGAAAGGAGTATGAGCCTGTGAAGGTACAGATCAATACTGATAGCACGTACTACTGAACTGTCCAGTTGAGCGCGTTGAGCGAGAGGATACGCAACTCATCATCATAGCTGCGATTGCCCCCACACATGACCAGAAACGAGACGAGCTGAGGAATGTGCTGGCCAAGTAAAGGGGTTTCCTGCAGCAACAAAGTGAGTAACAGTTACATTGGTTTCGCGGGGAAACCCAACTAGGATAAGGAGCGTCTCGAGCACGTCGAACAGCTGACGAGCGCCCTGTTCATTGCCCGATTCAACGCATTGACCAATTATGTTGATCATTGCTGGCAGCAAGTTTTGGAAGGATTTCTGTAGGCAATGTGAGAGCAGTGTGGCGAGCATGATGGAGTCTCGCTCACGATATCACCCTTGTCGTCGGCATCGATGTACTGAGCGACGACCCCGAGTGCTCTGCGTTCTTGTTAGTTGCTAAGGACGGCTTGTACAACACATGACGCACCTGACCGTAGTGATCCTGACCTCTGCACTTTCCGGATCATTGATCAACACCTCGAACAACTTGAAACAGCTTTGCAATTGAGTCTCAAAGCCCTCTACGACATTCTCCAGGACTGTATAGAGAATGTATACCCCAACTTCTCGATGCGCGACATTTGGTGAACTGCATATTTGCTGGAGGAAGGGAAGGAGTTCTGGCCAAGTGCCAAGAGGGAGCTCGACCGACGCGATCGCGGCGATGACGCGAGCAGAAGAATGACGAACAAGGTTGCTGCAGCCTATGCTGAATCACACAAAGAGAGCACCACCAGCTTGTGAACGCACCTGGGGTCAGACAGGATAAGCTCAGGGAGCTTCGCCTTGATCTGTGCGCGGTCTTCTGGTGAAAGCTGAATCCAGTTCCCTCCGCTGTCCTTCAAAACCCGTTTTCGCAACTCCACTGCCGCGAGTTGTCGGACCTATATTGTGGGCTGTCAATATGCGCAGTGAACAGTGTTGCGCGCGAAGCACCGACCGCTTGATCGGGAGAGCTGGCGATGATTTGTGCGAGGGCAGGAATGCACGCCGGACTTCCGTAGTACTCTCTGTTGAGTTGGGCAGTTGCCTGGAGGAATCAATCAGTGTATTGACACCAGTAAAGCCGTCTAAGGTACTCACTGCCTTCAGCTGCAAGGTGTTATTTGAAGTCGATTGCAGCAGGAGATTGTGTAGGCCTTGCACATAGTTGGGCTAGTATGCCGTGAGGAAGAGAGGGGGAATAAGCATGGAAGAAAACTCACATCCATGGCTGCAATATGAGAGCGAGAGCAGAGGGTGGCTGAGGCAAACCCTGCAGCGAGGTGAGCGATGCTCTCAAAAATTTGGCTGAGTTCAAAAGTGCGCGAGATATGAGAGCCACGTGTTTAATTGATTGATCGATTCGGTTAGTAGGCGCCCTAAGCACGACCAACCAGAGTCTAACTACCGCCAGTGGCAGGGAGCAGCGAGGATAGTATGAAGCAGCTCGCTGCACTCAGAAATTGCACTGTTTATCGGGAGAGACAAGGCGAACAGTCGGCACGCAGTTAGCCTGGAAAGCTACTCGAAGTGGCAGGAGTAATATCTATGACGTAGAGTACCCGACTCACTTCATCTGGCGGCCTAGTTCGCGCAGGCCTAGAGACTTTTGGCCCATCTGTGGTAGTTTTGGAGTTCAGCAACTCACCTTTTGTAGTGTAAGTTAGTGGAATCGCGAGAAGACTCAGATCCGATAGCTGGGAAGTGGCGGGAGATCAAACCTATATGGTCCGCGTACCGTATGACTTTATTTGCAGACCGCTACTCGGGCACCTAGGGCGACTCTAACGTGTATCTGTTCATGATGCACGAGCACCCACACACATCGGTGCGCTCACGAGAACTATTGATTGCAGCAGGTTGTATCCAGCCGCTGAATGACGGCGCAGACCAAGGAGACAGCATCATCAATGGCATTCTGTATATGAGACCCGAAAAAGTACATGTTGTAGCATTGGACAAGCAAACGTGCGGTGGGGTATAGACACGAAGTACTATATTGCGAGGGACAGATAACATTCTTAATCCCAAAGGAAATATACAACCTACAAGAAAGCCTAGCGAACATCCTGATAAATATGAGAATCAAACGCCGAGATTCGACCTGCTTCCCCATGTGGAGTCGTAGGCTGGCGGACGCACGACAATGCCTGCATCAACCTCCTGTATCTCGGTTATTCCGTGAATATCTGTGTTGGTGTTACTTCTGTTGTTGATCAGTGCTTCTGCGGATTCAGGCTGAGCCTCAATATTTCGGAGGGACACTGCAGGGCTCCGAAGCACTCCCTTTGCATCACCCTGGCCCTGGGTTGATCGGATGTTATCTGGCGAGTTGCAGCAATCCAGTGAGCACAATCATACAAAGCAGAGAACAGAATAAAGAACGTACAGGGTGAGACAGGATCGGCTGTTTGGTACTGCCACCGATGCCTGTATCGGTAATACATAGCAGCGAGTGCAGCGAGAACCAACACTCCGCCAACACAACCAACCTGCCGTGCAGAACGTTAAATACATTGAATCGCACATCAAGAAGACGATTCGACACACCACTATGCCGACGATTGCTCCTGTGGATAGAGAATGCGACGAATGCATTGATGCATCAGAGCCCGATGTCGCCGAGGATAATGCTGACGTGGCTGAGGTTGTTGAGGAGCTTGTGCCGCTATGCAAATTAAACAACATCAGCACCGCAAACGGTGCTCGACAGAGCTCTAAGCAACTTACGTGTTGGATGACTGGTATGCCACAACTTTTGTGAGATCAAACGTCGCATTCTGCGTGTTGGTAAGGGTAACAGAGTATGTTGACGAGCTGTTCAGGCCCGTCGCCAGATACTTCATCTGGTCAAACACGCGCCAATGCGACGAGGCATTGCCAAACGTCGTGTTTGCGCTGCCGCCACCCGACACCGTCTTGACAGAAACAGAGAATCCGCCGTGGTCCGGAGCAAGGCTTCCAACAACGGCGAAAGCGTTCGCGTCGCTAAGGGTGAACGTAACTGAAGAACCCTGTACGTCATTGTTGAGGCGCGGATAGGAAAACGAGTCTTGCACGGACCAGCCGCTTCCGGTTGTAGTGAAGTAGGAGCTCTGCGATGGAAGCCCTGGGGAATTGTCCTGCAGCGCCGAGATGTTCTTTTGCGATACCGACCTGTTTCATCATGAGCGTGGGCACGATCCGTCAGTTTTCAATATAGAGGCAGACGTACCCGCCTGTGCCCAAGCCAGCTGTGATGATACCGCCGGTAAAGGTAAGCTCATCCTCGATGATGCCCAGCGTGACCGTATGCGAGGTATAATCAAGGCCTGTCTGGGAGAAGAGCAACCCATCCCGGTCGTTTCCACTGCCTAGATTTGCGGACCCGCCGTCTACCTGAACGGTATAGACGCCCTTGTCGGCCACGCCATAGAGCCATACGGCGGTGCCGGTCCAAGTGAAGCTCACAGCACTGTTTACGCGCGTGGTGCTGTGTGAGCTTGTCTGGAACTCTATCAGTGGATGTAAGCCATCGCAAACGAATAATCGTACCCCGTTGGCGAAGTCTTCTGTCGGCGTCCACGAGCTCGCAGGGCTTCCGGTGTATGAGAGGTTCCAGTCTTGGTCAATTGGGCCATCACGGTCCCGAAAATATGATAGCATGGGGTACTGGTCCGTGAAGGTGAAGTTGTAGGGAGCGGAAGTGGACGCCATCGTGAATATGATTGCCGTCTTCGGCAACAATGTGCATTTAGCAGCAAGTCGTGAAAACTGTTGTTGAAGCAAACTCACCTATAGATGGGTCGTGAAAATGGGGGAGTGCAAAATGGAACGAGGCCGCGGGCATTGGCCTATATTTAAGAGCGAAACATGACGGTTCTCGGCTGTGCATCACTTCCTCCTGCCAAGTCAGACCCAAGGAGGTATACGCGATCCGTCTGCTGGTAATGATACTAGTTGGCATTGTACTTTTGTCTGGCGCCTAGCGGATGCCAGTGGCAACAGGGCGTTTTCCCACCCATGTCAAAAAGCCTCATCGATACTCTGCTCGCATCGGCGGCAGTTGCTCAATCTGCATGGAGAGTAACTTAGAATATTCACCACATGCGGAGTTGTTCATCCCGAGATGCCTTCATAAGCGCTCAAGCGTTCAGCGCTAAGCGCTAAGCGAAAGGCGGTGGCGTGATTGGCGAGCCTTATGAACCCGCCGTCAGATGCAAGTAGACCAACTGTTACGTATCAACAGAGCATAGATCGCCTCGCCGGAACATCATGGACTTCTTGGCTTGCCGGTAACGGCTAGAGCGCAAAGGATGTGCCTGTGAAGGACATCGTCGCGCACACGACGGAAGTAAGCATCTGGCAGAAGTCTATACAAAGATAATGGCATCAGTGGGTTGGCGCAAAAACAGAGCATCACCGAAGGGGCTTTCCCTGGAGGACGGAACTGGACACAGCAACATAACAGGTGAGGTAGCGAGGCGGGATGCCCACGCATCCGAGGCATGTATTGGCCAATTGTTGTCGATGGTTACGAGAGAGGCGAATCGGGCGTCCAAGACACCGCCGGCTTCGTGCCTAGCGGGTTCGGAACTATTCCACATTAGGCCATACCGAAGGTGGTCCAAGAAATGATTTCATTCTTTTCGATGCCTTCAATTCTTCTGATGCGCCTCTGCAAAGCGATCTTTGAATGCATCATGGCCAAGGCTACACTCAATCGGGTCTCGGTGTCGAGAGTGCCCGCAGGAGACGCGATTTAACGTCTTCTACGTGTAGTAGGTCTTGAGAGTACTCAGCATTGTGCTCGGGCGACGTAACCTCGCAAAGGCAGAGGAAACTACGCGACGTACTGTTGATGAGGGTTACATCCTGCGGTGTCGACGGGTATCCTATGTTCTTACGCAATATAACATGAAACTCGGAAGCACAAAGCCAAGAACAGGCACGGCACCACAGTGCATTGCGCAACAGCACTGAGAGGGCAAAGTTCCCGTTCGGTGTTTCAATTCTGGATCTCTGCAGGTCCTAGTCTGTCGCTTCCATGTACAGTATGATTGGGAGATTCAGGGACCAGTTTCCATGTAGGAGAGCTCATATGATTAGAGGTGTGCAATGCAGCTCTGGGCCAAGATAGCTCTTCAGCAGAACATTCTCAATGCCTTCAGTAGCTCAGAAGAGTCCGTGGACCCTGTTCGTTTGCGTTTGATGTAAGTTGTGTTTCAAGCCGCCAAAGTCCATCAGGGAGTGCTGGACAGTGTTTGATTCCAAGTGACTTCCTCTAGTTCCGGTGCGATCTCGTCACTTTGTTGGCAAGTAGCACGAACACCAGACCGTCGCTACTAGGATCCCGTGTTTGCAGTGGACAGAAGTCGAAGCAGATATTTAAGATGCCCATCAGAGTGAATTGTCGATGAATACATAGTTCAACGCACAGCGTTCATCAAAGGCTTCCTGCTTTTCCTCCCGTTTGAACATGGCCAGCAAACAGACCGTAGTTCTTAGGATCCGTGGATGATCCGTCATCAATGTCGCAATATATCATCGAAACGTGTTGGCAAAAGAACCCGGGTGTAAGGATGTAGCACATGAGTCTTTGTTTCGACTCAAAGACACTGCCCAGCGAGTAGCGCGCTTTGATCTTGTACTCGAGTCGTAGTACATACGGAGGAGTCCGATATTGTAGCTCGCTGTAGGTCGAGCACAGATGGATCTGATCAGCGCCAAGACGACGTTTTTGCCTAGGGCCAGTACTGAGATGATAGGTTTGCAATTCATGCAGGCCATGACAATCGTGCGAAGGATGGGAGACTGGACCAACATAGAACGGCTGATGCACTAGAACAGTTTCAGATGGGGTTATCGAAGACCTCGATGGTGAAGCGCAGAATGAAATTCATGAACGAGAGTGCCTCATGAACAAGAAATGAGACTGGAACGCAGCTGAGATGCGGTGGCCAGGAAACATCGCAGCCTATCGCAGTATCAAGCAACAGGTTTGGTCTAGAAGTAAACCTGCATATTTTGATCCGCCATCAATGAGCCACAGGTGAAGAAGTAGCTGGCGAGAAATCACTTAGTGACAAGATGGTTGCAGGGTTAAAGTGAAAGGCACAAGTTGACGCGGACCCGCAATGCTGGCAGTAGAAACATCACAGGTTCATTGTTTTGAATGCTCGACGCCTGGACCAAGGCCTCATTAGTTCCCCCGACGCCGGATAGGCTCTGTCCCGGTCGTGATATATTGTATCACCGCACCTACGTCCCTACCATTGGTATTCCTAACGATACCCTTTGTACTCCACACCCTTCGGCGGTATATAAGTTGTTAAAATTGTTTTGAATGCTGGTCACGATTATTTTCAGTTGACAATGATTAAAACAATTGAAACAATTCGAAGATGTCTACAGCGATAACATGGCGCAATTATTATTTGTATTTGGACGGTTATCAGCATGCCGCGTACCAAACGTCCATGGCATCATGCCCTCCCGGTGGCTTGATCACTTTCTGTCACCACCTTGAGCAGTTTGCATGGTGACTCGAGTTCCCAAATTGCCATTGGACCGCTTGAACTGACCTGCATGCTTGCAGCACGTAAAACGCACGTGTATTTCAATGACAGGGCACGAGGTTCGTCGAGCAAGATACACGTTGCAATGTTCCCATTGATACGGTTGCCGTTGGTCTCTTCTCAGTCACGAAGGTCAAGCGCTGCATCTCCATATCGGCCTCTTTTGTTCGTTCGCTTGACACCTTTTGACACCCACTAAGGCCACGGTCGAGGGAGAAATTGAGCGAAGATTCGAAGCTTATTGTACTCTATGCAAAGGAACGACAGGAGCCAATTACGGAAGACGGGCGGTCCACTTCAACCAGCCATTGTTCGTCCATATGGCTTGATTGGTTCCGTCACGGGTGAAGGAAAATTGCTGGGAGCAACCCGCACAAGCGTGCAGGCCAGACACATGGCCGGTTATCGATGCCCGCTTAGGCCCATGTATAAAGTCCAGAGTTCCTCTCATTCTTCCCGCCCACCCTCCTGCGAGCTTGCTTGTCCTCCTCCGAGCTGTGCTCGTCATCCAACTTCTCCTTTGCTTTCCTTTTCCTTGAACGTCTGGCCACGTTTCCTTAAGTTCTTCTCTCTTTACGACCCTACTTCGCACGGACGCCAACTTCTTTCACTATGGTGCAACTGTCCAATTCACTCTTGTTCGCACTCGCAGGCGTAGCCGCCCATGCTGCTGCGATACCGCTCAGGAAGCGCATCGCCCAGACAATCGCTGATTCAACGACCAACTGGGAGGCTGCTTGCGTTCGTACTGTGATCCGCGTCCGGGCGTCAATGGAAACTGACGGCGGGATACAGGATTCCGCAGGTGGAGGCGCGCAATGCAACACAATCGCCGTCAATGCGTTCGAGACGCTCCTGATCGCCGCGAACGTCTGTGCACAGCAGGACGCGGCCGACACGATGATCACCCTCGGCAAGTCACTCAACAGCGACGACATGATCTCGCTCGCCCAACTGTTCGCGCAGCAGCCGCGCAACTCGGTACGTGCTTCCCAAACTTGTTCACGTGACCACCGCTCAATTTCGTGCTGCAGCCTGACGCGCTCGCCGTGCCGTATTGCCAGAGCGCGCCGAACAACACCGAGCTGGAGGGATTCTACCAGTGCCAATGGCAGGGCTCGAATCAAGAGAGCTTCGTCGGTGGCCTCACGCTCGGCGAGGCAGGGACGATCCCTTTCGGCCTCACCGCGGCCGTCTCGCCCCTCGGCTCCTGCCCTGCACAGACCTCCGGCCCGGTCGCGGACGGCGACCAGCTCACAAGCACCACCACCAACCCTGGCACAGCGGCGACTGGCGATAGTACGGGCAACAACACCTCAAGCGACACCTCGGCTTCCGCATCGGTCGTAGCTTCTACCTCGGCCGTGTCGACGTTGGTCGCTGCATCCACCGCTGCCGCTGCTACCACGAGTGCCGTTACTGTCGACAGCATTACGGCGACTGCGACTGCGACGGCGGCCAGCAGCAGCAGCTCTAGCAGCAGCAACTTCCTGCTAGCGAACGGCGAGGATGCGCAGCAGCAGAACGCCGAGTTCGCGACGCTCACCGCCAACTCTTCCTGCACTGGTAAGCGCACCGTGGCATTTCGCTATCCCTCAACGAGCGTCCTAACTCACATCTTCTCCGTAGAGGGTGAGGACGCCTGCGTCAACGGCGAGTTCGCACAGTGCATAAGCGGCGCCTACGTCCTCCAGAGCTGCGGCTCCGGCCTGAGCTGCTACGCGCTCCCACTCGTGAACAGTGTCGGGACGTCGATCACGTGCACCACCGAGTCGGACGCGGAGACCCGGATCACAGCTACCGGCGCGACGGGTGGCGTGACGGGCAGCAACTTTTCGAGCGCGTCGTCATCCGTGGCGGTCGCGTCGTCTTCGGCCACGTCCTCGGCTGCGGCGACGAGCGCGAGTGTGAGCGCCGTGTCTGCGGCGAGCAGCAGCAACTTCCTCCTCGCGAATGGACAGCAGGCACAGCAGCAGAACGCCGAGTTCGCCTCACTCACGGAGAGCTCGAGCTGTACCGGTGAGCTGTTATCCACTTTTCTCGTTCATGGGAACGTACTGATCGGATAATACCGCGTGCAGACGGCGACGAAGCATGCGTGAACGGCGAGTTTGCGCAGTGCGTGGACGGCGCGTACGTCCTGCAAAGTTGCGGCTCCAGCCTGACGTGCTTGGCGCTCCCACTCGTGAACAAGTCCGGCACGTCGGTCACCTGCACGACTGAGTCGGACGCGGCTACCCGTATAGCGGCCACCGGAGCCACGGGCGGCGTCACGGGCAGCTGCTGAGCGCGTGTTACTGCGAAGGGCCAGGACGTAGTCACGACTTTCACGACATTTCAGTTCACATTTGCATTCGCATTCAAAAATGTTCACATCTGCTGTAGCATATAGTATACGTGTTTTGTCTACCTCTGATGCATGCCCGCTCTGCGAGCGTTGGGATAACCCGTAACGAGCAATATGAGTGAGCGAGATGAAAACACTGAGGAATCCTGAGTCACTATCGACCTCCTCCAGGACTCGGTATTTACTGGAACAATCTGAACACGAACCTTCTCGCTTGCGACCGCAGGAAGATGATATATGAAGAGTATGGAACGATGTGCAGAAAACATAGAAGGAAGAATAAAGCAACCTAGCATTAGCAATGACATAGCATACACGCGTACCATATGCATCAGAACCCATAGCATGAAATGTCCATCGCTCGACCCGACATTATGGTGACCACCCGACCCCACCCACGCTGCTCTGTCCGCCCGGTGTCACGAACCCATCCGCCTGCTGCGACACCTGTATCGGCATCATTGGCATGGCCGCGGCGGCGCTGAACGCGGGCTGGCTGCCCATGAATCGTGGATCGGGCGCGGGCGCGCCGAACGCCATCGAGTTGAACAGCACGTTGCGGTACGCCTGCGTCGAGAGCGAGTGCGAGGACCAGAATGCGTCGTACGTCAGCGTGACGCCAGGATTCATGAGCGGTCCTACGGAATCAGAGAGAGTTGGAGAGCTCTGTGCTGGTGCGGAAGGTGCTGCGACTGTGGCGGCTGGCGATGGGGCCGCTTGCGGTTGTGAGGGATGCTCGATCGAAGAAGACACAGGCTGGGAGGGGGATACCTCTTGGTCAGTCTGCGTTTGGTCGTCTGAGACGGGGAGGTTGGTAGGTGTTGTGGATGCTACCGGCGACATGTTACCTAGCGCAGGGGAAGCACCCGGAGGAACTTGCTCCGTCAAATTAACTTCACTTGTGGTTGTCTCTGCCGCTGTAGGTAGAGTCGACGAGGGTTGTGGTGTTGAAGAGGACGGTTGTTGCTCATTTGCCTGGCTTGCGACGTGACTGAAAGGAGAGAGCGGCGTTGACCGGTTCACGTACGTGTGGCCAGGCGAGGCGAGTGTCGATGCTTGACAGAACTCAGAAGCTGTAGATGAATGATAGCCAGGGCACTCACTGGATGGCGTGTTCGAGCTAGTCGATGCTGCCAGTTGATGAACGGAACGATTCAACGCCTCCGCCATGAGCAATCCGCTTTGCGCGAGCTGGTCCTGCTTGTACTCATTCACGGGAAAGATGGTGTTTGGCGTGAGGACCAGCGCGTTCGCTCCTGTGTTTCTGCGTCCTCCGGAAGAGACAGTGGGAGACGGCCGATTCCTATGCGTGTGGCGGAAGTAGAGATTCTCCACTTCGTTGAGATTTTGTCGTTGCTAAGGAGCAGGCAGTCAGAGAAAATACAATCTTAAAGAGATTGCGACAGACCCATCCATGCTCGACCTTCAGCTTGGCATATTGTAAACGCAGACGGAGTTGCCCAGAAAGCTGCAGACGGGATAGATCAGCACCCGGATATTATGAGAGTTGGTCGGCAGTATATGAGCATATATGAGCTGAAACACTCTTAAAATGAAGTAGCAGTTCAATTTGAGAGGGTTCCCGGCACAAAACTTGGACCATGGCACGCGACAGTAGAGGACATTCTTACGGACATAGTTAGCCTTTGCCCTCTCCGGAGTCAACTTTCGACGTTTATGGTCGACTTGAAATACTCCAGTCTGTGATGCAGATGTGACGTTGTCCGTCATGGGTATAATCGCGACAACGGGGACGAGATTGTGCGCGATGCGCAGGAAGAAAGCAGCAAGCGATGGACCGTACAGCGCCCATGCTGCACAAACGCCCAAATTGTAAACGCCCAAATTGTCGCTTGGCTGGCGCCTGTCTTCCATATATCACACAAATAAGTTGTGTTTCTCGTTCTTTGCTACCATCCATTATCGGCGTAGTGTTCAACGTGAATGATGGATTTCTCGTTCATTCTTCCTATATTATCTTACTCTCACAGCTCACCAAAAATCTAACTTTGAGCCTGATCACGGTGATCTTTCAGATTGCAGCAATGCTGGAGCTCTGGCAGTCTGGTCAAAAACGGATCAACATTCACATGGTTGTTAAATCAATGGGCTTGACCGGGAATCGAACCCGGGGCCTCCTGCAGTCATGTAATCCCGAAGCAGGAATCATACCTCTAGACCATCAAGCCGCGAAATTGCCATTTTTAATTATTTTCTATTCCAAGCAAATGATTTCTCTGTGCGTTGACGTTCAGCCGAGGTGCAAATCGTTGAACATTGATAATTTGATATTCAAGCTTGCACCTTGAAAATTTGAAGTCTTGAATATCAGAAATGTACAGACAAGGTTCAGTGAAATGTTATCGCAATCTTCTCGGGGCCTGTATACATACACAGTCCGACTCGGAGTTGCCCATCTTCAAACTTGAAATATCAGGCCTTCAAGCTTCCGACTCGGAAGGTACTGGTGAAGATTTCGTTGAAACATGCATCATGGTTGCACCAACACTGATTTCCCCTCAGAACTGATCATCACCGATGATCGCGCTGCTGCCAAGCGTTATCAATACAGTGCTCAGCCATCTTACTTTTTTCGTCATTCAGTTCCGTCGGACCTCCAGGATCTTTACGGCTGTACATACCATGGATCATTCATGTTCCGATTCTGATTCGAGGAGACACGGCAATATATACCCACTACATTGTAGTACCAGCCAGGCTCCACGCTGTCTTGCATTGTCCAATGTCTTCTGCGTCTGACCTTCCGATCTTGAATGAGGAACTTGACCTCCTAAAGAATGCGTCAGTCCTATTTGAAACTATGCTATGGAACTGTATCTTAGAGCTTGAATATTACCCAGATTCTTGTACAACTACTGCTACTACGCTATCACAGGTGTGTTGTTATCAGCCATTCAGTCAATGCCAGCTCAGTGACTCCATCGCGCACAGCCGCCATCTGCTATGAGCACTTGAACACGCTTTCTGACGAGGTTCATCTGCTATGGCGTGGCAAACTTAACATCAGTACCGCTATCTTCTTAGCGAACCGATATTTGCTCCTCTTCATGGCTGCGGCTTTCATCTTGAACTCTCTGGTCTGGGCTACGCCGTTGGTGAGTTGTTCTTCCAGATATTTTTTACATGAAGCTCATGATAAATGGAGAGGTCGGATCTCTTCACCTACTTCACTGCTGTAGTCAATTGATGGCGAGCGAGCATCTAGCTGCGAAGTAACAGACATGCTTTACATAGCTGCATTAAACACTCTGGAACTGATGCTAGCGCGTAAGTCGTAGAAGACCGGGATATCTCAACTGCATCACTTATATCTGCTGATGAAGTTGTATCTGCGCTGCGAGTGTATGCTATCAATCGCCGACAATGGGTTCTAGCCGTCATTGCCCTGATCCTAGGATTGGCTCCAGTAATTGTTAACAGTGTGAGTCCTGATTCTATTTGGATGATTTCGCTATTAACTAGCTTACGTGCAGATCACAGTCGGGACGAGTTCATATCAATACGTGATTTACGTCGGCAGTCTGCCGCTTTGCGACCAAAATTCACCATTTTCAGTTACTCTCTTGTCATAGTGAGTGCAATCCAGTCCTACGTGAAGTGGGGCTAATACTTTATCTCTCAGTTGTAAATCCCATTTCAATCAGGCATAGTTCATTGTTGACAACACTGACCGGTTGCTCATCAGTGGCCATTCCCACTCGTCTTCCTCCAATCCTGTCAGATATGATTGTGCTGCTTGTGACGTGGTTCCAGACATTCCATGTTGTTCGAGACGCTCGCAAGGCTGGGTTGAAAGCCTCCTTGGGAGCATTGATTTTGCGAGATGGTGAGCGATGACCACATTTGGTTCTCCAACGTTTTCCTGATTGTTTTACCATTCATCAGGTACACTCTATTTTGTGTGAGTGGCCTATCAATAGCTCAACCAGGCTGTCTCGTGAACGCCACTGCTAGCTTGCTACTTATTCTGAACGTCGTCGACATCGTCGTCGCAATATGTGCATACCGGTCCAAGAATGATGTATGGAATCGTTATTGTTTACGAAGAAGCCGCAATTCACTTTTCATTCTGGTCAGGATACAGCGCTTTTCGTTTCTGTCTTTCTCGTACCGTGAGTTTGCCTTATATTCCTGTCCCGAAATCAATACGGCAGATTCATGCCAAGCATCGTCCAGTCTCGCATCTATCTTAACAACTCGATTCATCTTAAACCTTCGTCAATTCTCTGACGACAGTGCAAACGCGAACTTGTCTCAAACGACCTCTGTGCTTTGGCAGAACGTGGACGATCGAAGCAGCTTGGCTTCCCGTATCATCGGAAATCTAGGAGCGGAGATCGAACACCATGCATCAAACAGGTTTGCGAACAGCACAAGCGAGAACGACGATGTTGAGGGCGGAGATGACGGTGATGGTTTAGGGTGCCCCGACGACTCATAGTATGTGATGACCAGCAGGAGGACCAAGATGTTTCGGAGAAGTGACAGGTGTTGTCACTGGAGGGTCGAAGATGAAGGTCGTGACAGGTATCGAGGATTACAGAACACAGCACGGTAGAGAGTCCGGACCAGCCTCACAGGATGAGGTTTCAAAATGCTGGACCAGACAAAGCAAAACAGTGTCTCATAGGCAGTGCTTATACAATTCTGTAACCGGCCGCGCTGGGTAGCTAAGCTGGACAACTGCGGCAATATAGTGAAGCTGGCGGCAGTGAAGGACACCGTAAAGCGGCAATAAGCGCGCGTGAGGCGGCACGAAATTCCCCCAGGCCCAGCACGGTACAATGAAGCATCCCATACAGAGCCAAGACTAAACTGTCAAAGGCTCAGAATCCGCATGACTGCATCTTGAACAAAAGTAACATAACAGAAACAAGACAAGACGACAGTTAGCACATAATCCGTACAAAGGCACCGTGATGGTCCGTCCATGGTATAATTAATTCATAACCCATTCTCTCGCAGCCTTGCACCCACCGATGTCAGGATGCAGCAACACAGAAGACAGCCAGTGTTGGAGAAGGCGTCGCCTCTGGTCAAGGAACGTGGGGCGAAATTTGGCCAAAGAGTGTTTTGGCGGGAGCGCTGGTACGAAGCTTTGCTGATCCTCCTAGGCAACTTCAGTACATCTGCTTCAAAGATATTGAGCGGATCATGCAGCTTACTGGCAATGTAGCACGTAGTCTCGTATACAGCTCTGCAAAGGCGCTGTAGCGTTTGTGCACGTGAAAGACCGTTCCCTGTAGGCACCATCAATGAAATCGCCTATGCAGATTCACATAGTAGGCTAACGTACCTCCTTAGTCTTGATGGCACAATCATACACTGAGGAACCAATCAGCAATATTGAAATTGCGTGGCTGCAGCTATACTCACCTATGTACGCCCCTCCACGCTTGTCGCCGACACTCGTCCATCCGATAACTTCCACCTCACGCGCAAACGACTGACTCTCGCCAGAATTGTCTCCTAGCCAGATATCCTTCGAGAAAACTGACGGTGTTTGCACCGGCGAACGAGGTCGTGGAGTAGTGTATCTCGATCTGACCGGGCTCTGATAATTCATTGGACTCACATGTGCGGGCATGCTTTTTAGGAGATACTCACATCACATAGCTCCTCATATAGCCGCACCTCTTCTTCAATGTCAATCTTGTCTGGGAGCACCTCTATCAAACCCTTTGCATTTTGGAAGGGATGCGGCGTCGTAGGAGAAGTCTCAGTAGACGGGGACGGATGTTTCAAGAAGTCTTGCGAAGTAACCGCGTGGTTCAGTTGGGAGGCCATGAAGCATGCAGGTGGATGGGTAAGATGGTCCTCGCCGGCTGCGTCCTCTAATGGACAGGCCTCATGAGGATGGCACAGTCGATGATGATTGGCAAGATAAATATGAAATAAGACGGGCCGCTGTTGTAGAGGTGCTATCAGAGTCCAAAAGAGAGTATCCTGCCGGTGGGAGATGTTTAGAATTCATTGTCAAGTCAACTCCTCGCCCTGTGGCAGAGCGCCCGTCAGTGGGCGCTTCACAGCAGCGGAGCTCTTGGGCGCACTATTGCAAACATAACGAAGAATCGGTGATTGACACTAAAGCTTTTTCGAACTTTGTAAGTATCGAAATCGCAGCATAAAAGCTTGAAGTCGTGTTGTAGTCAAGTAAATTATAAAGGAAGGAGCAAGTGTATCTCGCGAAACCAGTACTTGCGGCGCTACGTGAGATTGGAAGTCCGATGGCAGAATCCGGTGGCGCGGCGCGACTCGTACTCTGGCCGCAACTTCAAACACGCTCATGGGTACGCACTGTATTATCATTAATCATTGGTCTAGCTTGATGTAAATCGCCCGCAAGATGCCCTGTGCACTACGAAAATTACTTGATGCAATCTGGCTGGCCCTCTCGGTTCTTTTTGTGCGCTGGAACCATGAGAGAACACCACACAACGGTGGCCCTTGAAGGCCTCTGCCGGGCTCGGAAATCTCACATATCGATATTAATGGCACTTCCTTCCAATCTGTTCTGATGTCGAAGCCGCTAACGGGGTTCGCACACGCTATGCCCGTGGCCCCCCTCGAATATGCTGCAAACACCGTTACAATTCTATGTCCACCTACATTGCACCTGTAAAAGCTATTCATGGGCTGGCTGTCAGTCTAACACAAGTCCAGTCGAATGTCCGAATCTTCATAGATCTGCAGAAGAAGCTTCGCTCGGATAAGCATAGCCTAAGTGTAGAGCGCTTCCGTCTGACGCCCTGGGAGCGACGGCACACAGAACATGTTGCAGCCTCGTGTAAGGTCGACTCGTACAAGACGATTGCTATAAATCGTGACATCCCTTCCCGCTGCCCAAGCCCCTTGCTTCTTACCCTCTCCTACCTGTGGTCCTAGGATACTCCAGCATGAGCGGCCTATACCAAATCCCGGACCTTCGGCATGACCTGCACCAGAGCATCCAGAGCATCCAGCTCGACGCATCATGGGCAAACGACTCTCCCTACCCGCCCGTGCGGACTCCCGGCCCTCGCATGAGCCATGCAAGTGCCCCAAGCTGGACCTCGGCATCATTCATGAAGCCCTCCCATGCCGGTCCTTCACAGGTTCCGCTTTCGAGATCATTGCCCCATCCCATATCAGCAGCAGGCACCTCCATGGGTATGTCAGCAGAAGGATCTCAGTGGCGGGTCTCGGACGCAGACACAGAACCTCCCGCCGAGCTTGGAGCGTGGGCTACCACTGAACCCAGCATTGAGGCCATGACTGTTGAGCCGGTGTCCGAGCGGGACTTGGAGAGTGCAGTGTTCACGCAGCAGAACCAGCACGGGAGGACGAAGGGTGTTGTTGGCAGTTTCATGAATGGGATCAGGAGCCTCCCGCGAACTCTCACGAAAAACCCACTACGCTCAACGAAGAAATTGCCAGACGAAATGTTCAGAGCCTCAGAATCCGTCGATCCGCTGCCGCGCTATGACGATCCCGGGCAGCCCATGGCAGGCCCATCCAATGTGCAATACGTACAAGCCATGGAGATGCCCAGCGAGCATCCCGTTTCCGCCGAAATGGCGTATCCGCAGGAGGAGCAATCCGCCGACATCGCCCTTGAGGACCCGCACTCTACGCACCTTGACAACATGGATCCGCCACGTGCGCCCGCTCTCATGCCGATGGTACGCACGCCTGTAGACGTCATTCCAGAGCACGCATCGGACTACAAGATGATGGATCCCCCGCTTGACTATCGCCCGCCAGGCCACGACTCGCTCCTCAGCGTCTTCGCGAATATTATTGATTTTCTCATCGCGCTTAGGGACCTCCCATGGACGTCCTCGCCTGTCACAGTCGAGTATTTCCCCGAGGACTCGGTTCGTGCGTTCAAACCGGAGAAGAAGGTCGGCTCGTGGTACACGATGCCGAAACGCCAGGACATCGACCTCATCTCGACGCCATTGAGCGCAAAACCCGAGATCTCGCACGGCGAGGTTCAGCTTGTCCGCTCGGCCACTCCTGGCATGCAGTCTCTGCGTACTTCGCACGGCGGGAGTATCTGCGAGTCCTTATACCAGAGGTACAGCAGCGGCAGCGTGATCCGGGACGGGCTGCCGTCCCCTGTATCGTCTGGGCGAAACTCGAGGCAGGTGTATGTCAACAAGGGAAAGCAGCCGATGTACCCACTCTCTCCAAGTTCGTTGGGTGGGTCTGCGCAGCTCGCACCTGGCTTCGGCCGTCCTGTCGACTCGGAGACGGGGGAGCCGATCCCCGTGATGATGGTCGTAGGGAATCACCCGGTGATCATCCAGTCGCCATCTCGAGTATCGCATGCGCCTACACATATACGATTTTCTGCGTTATCGAAGTCGGCATCGAATATTGCGGATACGAGCATGTCTCGATGATGTGGCGCTGTCTGGTACGGCTTTCATTTTTTGCCCATGTTATGGATCTGCATTCTAAGGAACTATGTAGTACTTATGAGTAACGCCATTTATGCCAGTCGATGTGATCTGAAATGATCGAACATGCATGCTTTCATTCTGATCACGACCGATCTGTCAGTCTTGAGGTTCGTTACGCTCTGCAAGCCGCCAGTCCATGTTCCAATGGCTGACCGCACTGTTGTCATCTTTCGCTGGTTCTAAACATTTTCTTTCAGTCATCTTGCTATCTGTGTGCTCCTCCAGGTTGTCTGTCAGTTGCTTTGCTATCTCCTTGCTTTCGATATTATGGTTTCTGCGCAGCATGCTTCATGGAAACTAGAAGAACTGACTCGCTCTGACTTCTGGTTCTCGGATGGAAATATCGTACTCGTGGCTCACCATGCCGCATTCAAAGTACATCGAGGACAGCTCGAACGTCACTCGGATATGTTCAAGGATCTGTTCTCGATCCCGCAACCACAGCATCAGGACACCATTGACGGATGCCCGTGGGTCGAGCTGCACGATTCTCCATCTGATGTCTTGCATCTATTGGGTGCCTTGTATGACGGACTGTAAGTATCTTACAATCTGAATGGCTTATGCATGCTTATCGAGGGCGATCGCTAGCTACTTTACCAACTGCGCCGCAAGAAACTTCGCAGCCCTCGCAGGGGTACTCCGGTTATCTACGAAGTATCTCATCGAGCACCTTCGCCTGCGTTGTCTAGCACGTCTTCATGCCGAGTGGCCATCAACGCTTCTTGACTGGGACGTGCGAGAAAGGCAAGCCACTGACGCGGCCGGGCGATACACTCCCCGCGATCACTTCACGCATCCAATCCTCGTGATACGGCTTGCGCGCGAACTTGATCTTGACGAGCTGCTTCCATCTGCTATGTACGATCTATCTCGCTATGGTCCGCGCAAGATCGTCTCTGGTACTATTGTCCACCCACCAGCGTTGCCATCATCCGCCCCTCACCACAATTCCCCGGATGTTGACGGAGATGGGTCCGAACGTATCTGCCTCGCAAGGGACGATCTGCACACCATCTTCCTCGGACGCGAAGCTGGCCAGCGCTATCTCGCCAGCTTCATCGACAAGGAGCTCAGCAACCGGCAAGTCTCCGCCAACTGCGCACACAAAAGCCAAGACAATGCACGCGCGTGCCGCGAGTCATTCTACTTCATCATGCTGAATCTCCTGCGCTCGGTCGGCGGCATCGCGTGCGGCCGCGATGCGGACCCGCTTTTCACGTTCATGCAGGCCGTCGCGATGCTCTCTCGCACGGACTTCTCGGATGGCGTCAAGCAATGCGGGCTGAAGCTGTGCGCATCCTGCAAGACGGACTTCGGACAGTCTGTTGCGAAGGCACGAGAAGACGTCTGGTCCCTCATACCTCAGTGGTTTGGGTTAACGACTTCACCGCATCCTGCTGATTTGTAGTGTTTGCTTTTGCTATACGCTAATACATAACGTTTCTTGCTGTAGCGAGCTCATGATGTCGATGCAATTTGCGATATGTAATTCTCACAGAATTCACTTAGTTCTTGGTAAAATCTAGTTCCTATATCGTCTCTTGTCGTTTTGAATGACCCATATAGATGAGTAGGACCGGGATAAGAAATCTCAGCCAGTTGCCTAACACTGTACCGGAAACGAGGCACCCATCGTTGACCATTCAGACCACTACAATCAAGAGGAGTGCACGCGCAGGAGGTACCAGACAGCTGATCAATTTAATCAGCAATAGTATCCTTTCTCACTGTTCAACTATATATAATTCCTGCTACTACAGTAGTTGGTCTTGCAGATTTGAACATCGCAGACATGACAGCATTTGCGACCATTCATTTCCTCATACAGGAACAGCTGGAGGAGTTGGGGGGAGTGAAGTATCACATGGTCAGTGAGTCACTCTTTGAGTATGAATATGTCCTCCTGAGTGGTCAAAATGATTATGTTTACTGACTTAGTGCTTCCCAGATTTATGATGCCAATCTGTGTCACCTTTCTCAATTATTTCATCACCTTCTTGCCTTCTCACTGTGCAGTATGCCATCATTTCTTGTCATGCTCCAGCACCATCTCGAGTATCTTCCATGATAGCCTCACCCATCACAAGCCAGCACTATGCATGCACCACCTCCAGTGGGGTGTTCTCAGCTTAATCTGTGTCTTCTTCCACATTTTCACCAACTCGATCCACTGCTCTCTCAGATGATTGCCATGTGTTGGTCCTTCATGAGATCAGAAGATTGGAGGTAGTTTCAAGTCCATTTATTTATTATCTCAAATTTTTGTTACTGCCACTCACTTCTGATCACGGTATCATCATGTGATAGTTATTTCCTTCAATAGACCACATCTATCTCGATTATTGTATGAGATTTATGACTGCAGTACAATCAAAATCAGTACTGCTTGGGACCTGAAAGCCACAGATTGTGTATGCAAGGCATGTACTGTACACAGGTGATTGGTGGGTCAATACTTGCTGCACCTTCATGGTCAGGGTAGTGGGCTGCTTATCCTCATTGTTAGGCACATTGTTGAGGTCAATATGAATGCATCTACCTATGGCTGCAGGAGTACTCTTCTCTGTATCACTGGCAGCCACAATTAGTGCTGCATTGGTCAAGCTATCACTCACCTCAGAGTTTGATTCTCCTATAGCCCTTGTCAAATGCAGGTCATGAGAAAAGCTGTGAGTTGAATTTTTCAATATGCAGGTGCACCATCCACTTCACTGAGTATTTTTGATCTCTTTGAAATTTGAATGAGTGCATTCAATTGGACTTAGAGAACAGAGTATGCATTTAATGATCTCATTATCAGTGTGACATATCTTTCAAGAAGAGCAGAATCAGATGCTTTGCCATCATAATCATTTTGTTCACTTCAGGCAAAGCTCTGCTGTTAGTCATTGATGCTCACATTGCACAAGCTAATAAACATGAGAATGTACATTGTGGATTGGCAGGCACTTTGTCCTTGCCCTTTGAGTTACTTTTTTCTAATGTCATGCTTGCAGACTTTCCATCTTCCTTTTCCATCTGCATGCTGTTGGCCTTCTGCTGCTCTGCCCATTCTTTAAAATCATCCAGATCAATGATCTCACATGATCCTGACATATTTTGTCAATTACCAGAGAATGCTATGTATTTATGTGAAGTTGCTGCTATGTCTAACAATTCAAACATGCAAATTTTGCAAAGTTGCACTGCTATAGCTCTTGCAAGTGAAGTGATTGCCTCCATTGGGATGACTGATATCAACAACATTCATCCTCTGGTCTTTCTTCAACAGCAGCACATATGGCAGCTCTAGTAGAGCCAACTCTTCATTATCATCTGCTTCAATTGGATCCACTGAATCCTTCATCACCAGATAGGGGAGGCCTAAGTTATGAGTGCAATGGTTGGATAAGTGATGATAACTTACATTTTTCAATCTAACAGAAAAGATGCTGATGGAGACTACTATTACAGAGCCTAATGCAACATGTGCAACCATCATCTTGCTTCCTGATGCTGCTTTGCTTTTTCAACCCCCTTTTGTGGGTCAGTGCAGCTGCATGATGAGTTCACTGGATATTTTCTATATCATTCCCACTTGTTTTTTCACCAGTGACTTAACCATCTGCTCCATTTGGTGGAATGTCTGATTCTGTTATAAAGCGTTCCCCACTAAAACCCTCCGCACGTGAAGCTTCCACACGTACGATCGTATCTCTGGTTTATAGTGTTGTCTACTGCAAGGCAGATGCCTTTGCCAATGGACGCTATCCCCGACAAGCGGTACGAGCTTGCCACCTCTAAGAGATAGTAGATTGCACAAGGGTTCTAGACAGTGAGAACGTCAGAGTCACAAGTGGAAGAGGTTGTCTTCCGCCTTGCTGCTCTGCCCTTTATATACTACCCACCCCATAGTCTGGGGTCCTAGTACATGGGGTCTGCTACACAGCCGTTACACAGCCTTAGTGCTAAAGATAGAAAATAGAAAATAGAAAATAGACCAAGACGAATACTAACTGCTGCGAGCCAAGTAATTGGCGAGCGAATGTTAGTATAAACTGAAATAGAAAACCTGCAATGAACCGATATGGAATATACCAATATGTAATAGAGGAATATGAAATAGTCTGATATGAAATAGAAAGAATTGAAAAGTATGAAACGCGAACGTTGAACATACAATAAATCTATCTATATACCGGGAGCCGTTAGCCCCTAACGGCCATGCTCAGAGGGCCCTCCATAGCACATTCAATTCTTGTGCTATGCTCTTTAAAATACCCTCATCTGAAAGCCACGCTTCGAATCTCGGAGGCCCCAAAGGGGCCCCAATGCCCAGTTGAGCAGAACGGGCGATGTGGGCTTCCCAATCGGGCGGGTTTCCTCACGATGGTGGTTTGGTCAATATTGGTCTTTTTAAGACCCTCAGTTACTTCTATCACCTCGGTTTTGTTGGGGCCCCCTCGCTCTACATCTCAAGCACCCAGCTAATTAAATTCTCATTATTCCGCAATTTATTTGTGTTTCTACGGGATGCCCTTTCAACTCAGTCGGTAAGCGCCCGTTATGGTCCTGGTGAC